CTTTGAGAAGTGTTCTTTATATTTAATCTCTGCCATGAAGAATTGAAGCAGTTCTGAAGGAAAAATGGGGTCCAGCCTGTTACTGCCAAGGTGTACCTAATGAAGCGTCTGCTGCGTGTTTACAGTTACATTTGATTTAATTGGAACTTTAATAAGAATCTATATGTACAAAAGTAAAAGCAGCATCTTTTATTGCTTTAGTTTTTTATTTTCTTTGTTAGACAAGCAAACAACAAAAAACCCACAAAGGACACAAACCAACCAAACACCAGTGATCTCAAACACAAGCTGACTTTAAGGCCGACGCCAACAGGAAGCAAACTCAGATCCTGACATGCTCAAACAGATTTATACAAAAGGCAGAGACACAAGACGGCAGAAAGATTTTCACTTAGATTAACTTGTAAAATAAAAAGTCTAATCTGGAGTTGCTGAACTAAAGCAACATTTCATGTTTTTCTCTGGTTTTCTTTGTTTTGTTCGTTTGTTCACTTTTTTCCAAGAATCCAATTCTGGTCTTTATTTGATCCAAAAAATGTTTGTGCTTGAATATTGAGGTGAAATTAAACAGCTAGTTATATAAAACCAGCACGAAACAAAAAGTTAAAGAAAGAAATGTTCACAAAACAAATGTAGAGATTAAAGAGAGCCTCATTTTGAGTGTATGGATTTATCCATGAATCACTCGTTGAGTAAACTGACATGCTGCTCAGTTTTTTTTTTTTTAAACTCAAGCATGTAAATTATATTAAATCAAAGTAAAAATTCAACAGTCTCAAGGTTGAAGAAGTTTGGCTGTACCAAAAATAAACCTGCAAATGCTTTCTGATGTTTGTTGTGGTTTCCATATTCAGCAGTTTATGAAGAATCAGTCAAAGGTTGGAAAATCAAAGAAGCATTTAAAAGTGTCTCTGTTACATTAAAAAAAAAAAAAAAAAAAAAGAGGTTGTCTAGTCTCCAGTGACTTTGACTTAATTTCAGGCAGCAACAAGCAGCTCATGCAAATAATTCAACAACAATCAGGCGCCATTATTTTAAATATGTGTCCCCTTTTTCTGAACGTCGAGGGATCAAAACCAGTTTTTATATTCTGACAGCCCCACAGTGCATCCACAGTTGGTAGGACAAGGCAGAAAAAGCTTTGCCTGTAACACAGCAGGAAATGAATTGTGCTCATGAGTCATCATCTTACAGAGAAACACAGGAGACACCAACCAGCTTAAAGGGGCAGTTCAAACAAACTCACAGGTTCTTCCTCCGGCCTGCACTGATATCCATCCACCTTTATCAGTTTGGTCTCAGACATGCCTACAGCTGCTTATTACTGCAAAGTAACAGGCTGATAAAACACGAGCATGTCAATGACTGTAACCACAGACCTGATGGATGATCTGCATCACAAAAAGGCTCAAAAAACAGTGTGAACACAGAGAAATGATCCAAATTAGCTGAGCTGTAGACAGACAACGGTCAGCTACAGCTTCCCAAGGTGGACAATTCGAATTTCAAGCCACAATCAAATCTAAACAGACATAAAGGAAAAGTGAACCCACTGTACAGTTCTTATGAAGGATGAAAACAGCCACAGAGGGCAGAAACATTTCTGCAGCAGGCTGCTAACATGTTTATTTCTGCTATGATGCTGTGGACCGAAAGGAAACTGGCCATGTGACTAAAACATGGCTGGTGGATAAAGAGCACCGCAGGCCACAGGAAAATGTGCACATTGTGGATTTGAACCACCCGTTAAATACAGCATTGTGTGATGAAATCCATCTGAAGGGTTTCCCTCTGAAAGCAGCCATTCTCACATTTTTTCTAAAGTCCTGTTTTTGACACTGAACTTTTCAGCTGAATGAATCAAAATATACACATGCAGCCGAGTGTTGCTCATATATACAGACGTGACCGTGTATGAAGGAACTCTGAACCATCTACAGCGTTTTCTAATTGGTTCTGCCATTATTTCACAGCCCTGAGGAGTTTTTATGACCTGAGAAGCTCATTTTCATCCGGACACACACACAAACCGTCACCTCGCCGACTGACTGCGTCACCGCTAAACCTACGTAGAAAAATATAAACCGTCCCTTATTTTCTCTTGTGCTGGACCTCCTAAAGGAATGTCAGAAGTTAAGTCTTCTTGGCACTTTTTCAGGAGCGGCCTCGTCGAGTCCGCTGTGCCAGATCAAACCCGGGGGGATAAAAGCTTTGTTGAATCTGCTCCATAAATCTGTCAAACCAGGTCTGTTTTTTTAGAGCTTATTTTAGGAGAGATAAAGAAAAAAACTGGATCTGAAATGAAAATCCAAACAATAAGAAGGGCACTGGTGGTTAAACAAAAAGGCAAATGTGCTCATATTTCACATTTTGGTGCAATCAACAATCAGAACATCAAAATTCAGAAGTTTTAGGATCCCAAACTTCATGTTTTACTTACAAACCATCATCTGTGCTTTCAAAAAATGACTTTGTGGAGAGATGGAACAGTTAGCAAGTAAACGGATATAAGAAAGATGAGATCTTCTCGTCTATCGTCCACTGTCAAACATTTATAAGGAGACATTAATAAATGGTTCCTAACACACTGTAACGTTACAAGTGCCCACGATATGCTCATTTACAGTTTCATCGTTTCATTTTGCAGCAGACTACGTCTACATGTTTAATGTTAAAGAATGCAGGATTTTCCTCACAGGCTTCACTGATACAGAACCTCTGGCCCTGCTGTGATTGGTCACCTGTCTCTGCTGTGATTGGTCACTTGGCTAATCGAGAATAAGGCACTGTCAGAGAACGTCTTTGTAGGGAGTCGTGCTGAGACGATCCAAAATGAAGGAGACTTCATTGAGCTGCAGCCAAAAATGTAAAATTTGCAGGGTCAACATTTTTGATAGAAGGGCAGGAGAGTGTATATAATTCTACTTTCTCTCTCTAAATACTTTTTAAACAAGCTCAGCTGAAGTAAAATAAGTTTTTGTAAGTATTAGAGACGTGACAGGAGCGTGCACCACGAGTACAGCAGCTTTGATTTCAGTCATGAAGCGAGCAGGAGAGATTTTTAGATACAGTCGCCTTCAATCACAGCCGGCTGCTTCTGTTTGTGCTGTGGTTCAACCACACTGCTCTGGGAACGGGCATAGTCGAGGGGGCCGTCCTGACCAATCAGCATGTTTTAGCACAATGCGAACATTTTACCTTGAAAGAAAAAAAAAATCTGCTTCACTGGAAGAAAAATTAAATGGCCTGAGTGTAATTTTACTTTATCAACAAACAAACACAAAAAAAGTAAAATGAGGGATTTTCTGTGTAGAGCACAATCATTTTAGCCCCCGAGCTCCACACACTCCACTTCACTCAGGAAAATCTGTCTACTGCCCCTGCTGGACTTTAGGGAGTTTCTCTACAACAAGTTTTGCTTCAGTTTAGCGAGAACAGTGAGCGAAGTTCATCTGAGGACGAGTCAAACCAGCGGCCGGGCGGCCACTGTGCCCCGTGCTACACTCAGAGACCCACTCAAACAAAGGAAACGTATAAAAAAATTAAAAGGGCACTTCATTTAGTCTGCATGTCGACAACAATAACTCCTCCTGTGCTGTAATGACAGGATACTGATGACGTACTGTAATACTGGAGTTATGAATGTCGACACAAACTGGAAACACTTGAAAATGTCTTTTAACTCCTAATTTACAGTGTGTTAGAAACATTTACTAAATATTGACATAGTTCTACAGATTTGTAATTTCATGTAGCCAGATTTCTTTTTTCTTTTCTTTTTGATCATCTCAACCTGTCAGATTCATCTTCTGACCCACAAGCCGACAGACAACCGAAACCCAACCGAACAAACCAATCAGAGAGCAGAATCGTCACCTGTGAACTGTAAACACTCCTCATTAACTGGCCCAAGAGCTGAGATGACGATCGCATAATCTTATAAATATATAAAACTGGAAAAAGTGAAATGATGTGCTCTACAAAGCAAAGAATACGTCTGGTTCACGAACCACACTCTGCACTAACTGATCCCATTTTTCTGTCTTCTTTACTGAAGTAATTCTGCAGGCTGGCTTCATGCTGCAGCTGCAGGAGTGAGAGAAATGTGCTTCAGCCCACAGAAGATCAAAGACAAAAGAAAAGATCTAGTAACAGTTTGGTCGCGAGGCACAAACACAAAGTCCGATATAATGAGTAGGACTTCAATGTAACACCAAGTTATGAAATGTAGAAAACAGAAACGCAGGGACATGTACCAGATTAGAGAGTTTCCTCAAGCAGCTTTGAAAGAAACCTTAGCTTTGGAGTTCAGAGAAAACTGTGTGGAAACACAGAATATGTGCAGCATCTCTCAGATGACCAGTCGAGTGGAAGAGGAGAAAAACTGGTTATCTCCTCTGCTTTTAGCTGTGAATTCAAATTCAGTGATTTGTTGTCTTTTAGAGATCTTTGGAAAAGCAGACGTGCCGACAGAACCCAGTTTTATCCACTGTCCATGTTACATTTTTGTGCATTTTTCAAGAATGAAGATTCATCCTGTTCTATAAAACACCTCGCTGTCAGACGCAGAAACCTAGAAAAGCTCCGCAGCTTCACCAACAATGATGGCAAGAAGTTAAGTAATAGACGAGTACCGAAGTTTAACAGTCAGCAGTTCAAATGATGATGTACCACATGATTACAGACAGGACCTGACGGTCTCCAGGTATGTTCACCTGTTCACCTCTTTAAAGCAACTGTGTGCAAGCTTGAAATAAGCAGAAAGAAACTCGAGTCCAAAACTGCTGCTGATGATACTGAAATGAAAAGAAATGCCACAAACAGAAGGATCATGGATCTCAAGCAGACAAAATAAATGTCAATGATATTCAGCTGAACGCTTTTCTACAGTTTTCTTAGACAAAGGTCCAAAAGCTCAGCAGGCAGACGTCAAACCGATAATCCTCACTCCCAAACGTCACATCACGCGAAACTCCAGCAGCCTCGGTGACGTTCTCCAAACTGCTGCGGGAAACGTGAGAGAAATCCTTCAGAACTTCTCAGAAGTTCGGCTGCCTTCGTTTTTTGGCCTCGATGGCGTCGAGGATGGGCTGCCTCTTGGACTGGTAGCGCTGGCGGATCTCCTCGATCTCCTGCTCCATCTGAGGGTCCAGAGAGGCGAGCTTCAGCCGCAGATCCTCCACCGACCACGTGCTTACTAGAGGAGAACACATTGAACTATGTTAAGGCTGCTGTGCTTATTCATCAGCATCGAGGACCTCGGGTGTGTGAGACGGAAAGTCAGGGCACCTCATTAAGAGCAAACATTTATTTTCCCTGAGTTGACGAGCGTTTGACTTTCAGGCTCCTCTCATGTGGAACCAGCTCACAGTTTGGCTTCAGACTCCCTCCCTGCTCTCACCTCTCTGCTTTAAATTATAGTTACGAGAAACACAAAGTTTTTCTGAACACTGAACGTTTGTCATGAGTGAACTCTCACGGTCAACTTTTGATACACACAACGCGTCACAACGACATTCGAAGCAGGATTTGATGACTTTAGGGTCAAAGATCAACGCGGACGCAGTCCATTAGTGGACGCTGACAAAAACCTTTACTGCGCCCTCAAAGTACGTCACACATGACAGCAATAACCAAAGTGTCTGATGAAAGTATCTATTTTAGCAGCTTTCAAAGGATGAATCTATTGACTTGTATTCAATCCCTCCTCTCTCGGTTGCCGGCCTCAGACAGGGACTGGTGCTTGCTTTAGCTTTTCCCCAGGGATTCCCCTCTCAGCTTTTACCAGCAGCACAACGCTCTCAGGCTATTTATTACCCAGAATCAATAGAGCTAAAATAACGCCGCCGTTTGAGTCCACTAGACAGATAACCGTGAACAAGGGAAGGTCCTACAACTGGACTCCAAAAAAGCGGCCAAAAGGGCCAAAAGCTCACATCAACTTTTGCTGCTGATATGTCAGTTCATTCAATATATTTTACAGTAATCAATCATGAGTATTGCTTACAGGAATCATCCAACTAAAGCATTTAAAAATGGGACAAGACCTTCTTTGATTTATGGACTCATCAATGAAGAAGTAAAATTAACCCAACAGACCAACAAATATATATTTTATGTCAGAAGCATTTTAACTTTTGGAGAAGACAGCTTAATTATTAAACTAGCCAATAAATTATTAATCGGTTATTAAACTAGCCAATAAAAAAATACTCACTTATTAAATAAATGATGAAGTGCATCAAAACAGCAACGGAGGTTTTAACTGGAATATTAAGATGTGACCTTCGGGCATGGACGCGCTTGTTTTTTGTTTTTTTAAAAGGTTCCTTCATGTAATGATCTGCTAGAGGGTGTGGGGGGGCCACAGCCCCGTCCTCCAGGGCATGAAGCAGGTATGGAGGAGATCAAAACTCCAGACATCCAGAGGCCCCCAGAACACAAGAGACCAAGGAAGACCCACACTGTCCCAGTAAGAGTAAGAGAGTCCCAGATGAGGCTCACTCAGCAGCCGCGGAGCAGAAGCCGGGGGGGGGGGGTGCAGTGACGCGCCCGTGAGCTCCGCCGGCAGCCAGCTGCGCCTTGAGTGACCGAGCCCCAGGCCGAGAGGCCGGGGGCACCCCACCTCCGAAGTGGCCCGAGCGAGCCCCAGGCTCCAGGCCCGATAAGCGGCCGCCAAGGAGTGAGCCGGTGTGTACCTGGACGCCCATCCCCGGACACAAAGAACCACCAACGCACCGATGTCTGAGGGGGTCCGCCACTGGCAGGGAAGTGGTGGTAGGGGGAGATAGGCCTCCAACCTTGGAGGGCCTGAGATGTCCCAGAGAGGTGGCGCCTGACACCCAACTGACATATAGACACAGACATACAGGCACACACAGACACAAACATCCATTCCCACCCTCATGCTCTCATATGCACTTACTCCACACTCAACCAACGTGGAGACAGACATAAAGAGACGTTGTACACACGATCACACTCCCCAAGCGTACTCTACGAACCGGGTCTAGGTACCCTTGCCCCTGGAGGGGAACTGCACCCAGACCCAGGTGGTGTTACCCTTTTCCCTGCGGTGGGGGGAGGCAGACCGCCCCGACTCCGCAGCAGCAGGGAGGCCCCACACTCCAGACCGCAGTCGGACGGCCAACTCCTCCTCCTAGCCCCCCCGCTCCAGCAGGTCGCAGAGAACGGGGGTGAGAGAAGACTCCAAACCTCCCTCCACCCGCTCATTGTAGTGTTGATGCATGTGTGTTCTAAGGTGCATTAAAACCCAGGAGGGCATGGAGCTACCTGCCAGAGAGCAGCAGGTAAGCGCATGGTCCCTCCTGCTAGCCCTCAATGTCTACGTGTATTTAACATTGAGAGGTGGGCAACGATGCCAGGGGTGGGGTGTACACCCTGATGGTCCATGCTCACAGGTGTACACACGGGTGATCACACCCACAAACTACACCCTTTTTGGCTCCTACCTCAAAGCACACTGTGTTCTGTTGATCTTATGTGCTGCACAATAATGTTTAATATTTAGTATTTACTGTCATATTCCCATATATCATTGTGATGTTGTTTATTCTATTACTCTTGTTCTCTTCTGCTTGCTTTCTTTTTTCTTTCTCAGCAGGTGACCCAGGTGATTGATATATGCTTTTTTTTTTTAATTTTTTTTATTCTTTTTTTTCTTTTTTGCTCATTCTGTTGGTTTTTGGTTTTTGCCCTTCTCCCCCGTCCCTCTTCTCAGCTGTTTCTCTTTCCCTCTTTCTTTCCCCAGTCAAGTCTGTCCCATGTTCAGTAAGTGAAAATAAAATAAACAATAAAAGGTGAATCAAATGGACCATTATGGCAAGGCTGGGATGGTCAATTTGGTAAAGTATATCCGTTGGGCATCTTTGTTTGCCTTTAGACAACAATTCTGATGCAAAAGAGCCAAACGGGACAGGCAAAAAAAAAAGAAAAAAAAAAAAGAAAAAAAAAAAGATGTGACCTTCGGAGCTTTATCAGTACTTTTGCTGATCAGCAGGTTCAAACCCAAAGTGAAAGTGTGCTTCACCTAAACACAGACGCACATCACACCTGTGCACCTGCTGCTGTTATTAACAGAAGGATCGCTCGGCTCCTCCCATCACAATCCTCAACACTGAAACCTGCTTCGACTCCAGCGGTCGGTGCGCTCGACTTCACAGCCGACTGAATTCATTCAAACTTCAACACAAACTAAAACTTTGACGACTTCTTCAGTTAAACCAATAAAATCACCTGATGCACTTTGACACATTTGACACAGCACACTCTTGACTTTGTTGTAACTTTCGATGCCGGGTTTAGGGAGGAGTCCCTCTTTAAGGATGCGGTCATTAAAATGAAAATATGAATTATCCATAATGTTGTTATGAGCGCATTCTTTTCAGCTGCAGCTGTGATGCATTATTTTGTTGAGCAAACAACTACAAAAACACACACTTTGGTTATGAAATATTTAGCACCTGAGCTAACTGCTTACAAACCGTCTGCTCTCTCAGCTTTTCCACAGCACGCTGCATAATTTGACCAAAAACACAGAGCCGCCCTCTAAAGGGAACGACATCAAAGCACTCGGTGGCTGTACAAGAAGAATGGGGGTGGGCTTTCCCTCTCCACCTATCCTTATCAAACCGAAGGGTATTTAAGGCTGCTGTGTGATCTGTAGTTTTCATATTTTGCTGTAGTGGTAAACCCACAGCTGAATTCTCCCTTTTCAGCTCATCTCAGCACTTTTCTGCCATTTTAATTCCCTTTCATGCAGAAACAGTTCTGTGAGATCTCAGCAGCCAAACACGAGTTTGCAAAAACAGTGGAGCATTCAGCAGCTGAAGAGCTAAAGGATTTCACTGTATTGTTGGCTGCAGATACAAAGCTGCTCATCTGTTCTGACATTGTTGCAGCTCGTCCTGCCAGCTCAGAGCTTTCTATGAGTACACAACTTCTTAAGTGTGCGCAGACTACAAACGGGGCTTTGCTTGTAGAAATGGATGTACCGTCACAAGAACTAAAGATTCCATTTCAAACAAACTTCAGTGCAGCTTTAAGAGCAATCAGGCTCACCAACAGCACTATTCTCTCATCTGTTTCAAACTGTTCTAAGCAGGACAGCGTTATAGAGTCAGTCTGCTCAGGAGCAACCAGAAAGAGCACACTGCCCCATCAAGTGTTTCCTCACTTCTTCACTCCGGGACAGATTTTGTTCGATTCACATCTAAATATGAAATAAACAATATGAAAAGCAGAACAGCTGATTACTGGTAATAATGTAACTCAGTGTTGCAGTTCACCACAGAACTAATGTAACAGTGTTACCAGATTACTTATTCTCAGTAAAGCATTATTTGCATGATTTTTTAAGTAAGGATTAATATGCGTTACATTACTTCTCTTGAGTAATGACTGAAACTATAGAAATGATCAGCTGTGTCAAAAACCTGCGGCAAATCCAGAAGACGAGCAGCACATCAGGATGCTTTTCACTCCCTTTCTTTAAAGCTGTATTTACACTTTAACAGCAGCATTTCATCTGCTAGATTCTCTAAATGGGGCTAATTATCACAATCATTAATTAAAGATTGCAAAACAACCCAAAACAAAACAGAACTTCGATATATCTCCGTGGGAACCTGATATGGGATCTCACTGTTGGTCAGAGTAAAATTCAAAGCAAAAGTTGTTCTGCTAGTTCATCAGGCCCTGCAGAAGCACCAGGCTCCAACTGCTCTGGCACAGCGGTCCCCAACCCCGGGCCACGGACCGATACCAGTCCGTGAGTCGTTTGGTACCGGGCCGCGAGAGTTGAGGCTCGGGTGTGAAATTTATGGTTTTCAGGGTTTTTATCGTTAACTCTGTTTCCCTGGGTCTTTTTCCGTGTTGCAGTTGTGTCTTATTTTGAAAGAAATATTGATGTGTTACCATAGCGACCAGAGAGCATTAAGGGGCAGAGAGGGGATGTTACTCTCAGTGTTGTTGGCGCAATTTCAGGAGGACGCTGCTAATAAAGTTACACAATTACACATGTTTCTGAATTTATGTTTATTTTTATATTTACAAAATGCCAAATACCAGTTTTTGTCTTGGTCGTATCATTTTATTTTGTTCTATTTATCCACGACACCTTAAAGGCCGGTCCATGAAAATATTGTCTGACATTAAACCGGTCCGTGGGGACCGCTG